CATGTCTTTGTGATTGAACGTGGGATTTGGTTGTGCACGGTGGTGACAGGGAAGTCGTCAACTTCTTCGGGGTTGTGACGACTGCACGACTTTCGTCATGGTTGCCGTCCCCGTGACAACCAGCGACGACGATTGGGACGACTCCACTTTCCTCATGGTCTTCACCCTGCTGCAGTGGATGAACCAAAGGAACGTCGTGGCGATGGCTGTCCTGCAAGCGGCCACTGCTTTTCCAGCGTGTGCCCGGTGTGTCGTCGGCCCTGTTGCTTCTCACGGGCACGGTGATGCATGGACTGCCAGTGGCGGATATGGCCGCGTGTGCTTTCGTTGGCCATATGGATGCTCGGCGCCGGGTTTGGGTGTTGGAACGTAGTGGCGGGGTGTGGAAGGATCTCCAGAGAGAGGGGGGCAGGCACGAGAAAGTTTATCGGCGCTTCTGCAGCCTTCCTCGACCGCTGTTCCACGAAGTCCTCGAGCGCATCGCTCCACGCATCCAACGTCAATCTACGAACTGGAGACAACTTGTGCCGGCAGTGCAGAAATTCGCATGCGCGCTTCTGCGATGGGCGGCGGGCGGTTACTATAGACAGTCTGCCCACTCCCTCAGATTGGGTTTGGCCACTGCTCTTCGGAGCAATGAGGATGTTGCACATGCACTCATCAGGGAGTACGGACATCTGCTAAGATTTCCTACAGACCAGAAGCTCCAAGAGACGATGGACGCTTTCGATCACAAAGGCTTTCCTGGGTGTGTGGGAGCGATTGATTGCACCCACGTGTACTTGGAGAAGCCGAGAAACCTCAGGGGGGATTGTTTCTATGATCGGAACGGGCAATTCTCTATCGTGGCATAAGTGGTATGTGACCATGAATGCAGGATTGTGAGTGTGTACGTGGGTGTGTCGGGGTCCGTTCACGATGGTCGGGTGCTCAGAATGTCTCCACTTTACAGGCGGGCGCAACGAGGCAAGGGAGTTTCGGTACGGGCGGTGAATTGCTTCGGGATAGAAGAGCGATTGGCAGGTATCTGCTCGGGGATGCAGGGTATCCCACATTGCCTTGGATCATGACTCCGGTCGGGGGCAACAACAGAACTACGGCTGAAGCGGTGTACGACGACTGCCACACGTCTGCGAGGTCGTGCATAGAGCGGACATTCGGCATGCTGAAGGCTGTGGCGTAACATCATCAGGAGGCATATCGGTAACATGAAAACAATTTGCAAAGAGTTTTTTGCGATCTGCATACTCCACAACATTATGGTGGACGCAAGGGTGCAGATGGATCCCGACCTGCTTTCTGACGAAAGCGACATTGATGGATCCGATGTGGAGAGTCGGCGTCCGCGTCGAAGGCCTCGCAGACGGAACCATCCGGCTCCTATCCCACCTCTGCCGGAAGAGGACGCCGCATGTGCTCTGGATTTGGGGAAGGAATTGCGCGAGAGCCTCATCACGCCTGTGTGGCATCACACACGCGTTCACGAACGTCCGCGACCAAACCCCTGGGGACGTTGATGGTCGTCTGCCCCATCCATGAAGTAGACATTGTTTCATTTGTTGCTGGTCCTCTTTGTTTAATTTTATTGTATTCTATTTAATTTTGTTTAGTTTTATTGTCATTCACAAAGCCTCATCACGCACGTGTGGCATCACACACGCGTTCACAGACGTCCGCGACCGAACCCCTGGGGACGTTGATGGCCGTCTGCCCCATCCACGAAGTAGACATTGTTTCATTTGTTGCTGGTCCTCTTTGTTTAATTTTATTGTATTCTATTTAATTTTGTTTTGTTTTATTGTCATTCACAACCATGATGAACTGACTCTCTCTCTCTCTCTCTCTCTCTCTCTCTCTCTCTCTCTCTCTCTCTCTCTCTTTGCTTCGTTTTGTTCTATTTTTGTTGTCGGAAATACTTTGTAGTGTGTTCAGCAAACAAAACGGAGGAGGGCGATGACACAAACTCTCTCTCTCTCTCTCTCTCTCTCTCTCTCTCTCTCTCTCTCTCTCTCTCTCTCTCTCTCTCTCTCTCTCTCTCTCTCTCCTTTTTTTTTTGCTTTGTTTTTTTCTATTTTTTTGTCGTGAAGAGTTTATAGTGTGTTCAGCAAACAGAATGGAAGATGGTGATGACACATACACACGCACACACACACACACACACACACACACACACACACACACACATACCTACTAGTTAACTAACCCCCTATCTATAAATTACATACATATATAGACATCCAACCCCCAACTCTCAAACGCTCTGATATACAGCCTCAACACACACACCCACACAGACATCTTGGACTAAAAACATAATATCCTGCACAAACAATAGTGCTTCACCCTCTTGCAATCCACCCTTGCCCCCCCCCCCAAAAAAAAAACCACCACCCCACCCGCAGAAAAGAAACATGAGATCCCGGAAATACAATAGCCTAAGAGTATTTGCGAAAAGAGAAAGAGAAACACACACCGTCCGCAAAAAAAACAAAAAAAAGAAAGCAAATACGACAAAAACCTCGAAACGTCAAACAAGTCCGCACGACAAGGGCAAACCCGCTCACTATGCACAAAAAATCGGTCGAAAACCAAAAGGCTTGGCAGAAAAAACGTGATAGAAAACACGAGCAAAGGACCCCGACAAAACACTACCCACCGTAAAAAAGCAAACAACCCCTACAGAAGATATCACACTCACTATCACGAAACACCAACTCTGCAGACCCATGGTCCACCAAAAAATCTTTTCTTCCCTCAAAAAACCCCCCACCCTCATGAGTACAGAACACGGCCACAAACCGAAACCTCCCGCTCAATACACAAATCCCCGCCCCCCTGCAGCTCAAAGTTCCTATTTTAGAACACCTGATACACAGACAACGCCCTCTTTCTATCAACAATCCTGTCGCCAGACTTGCGCAATCTGCACAACTCCGATGCGACTTACCTCCGTACTAGGGACTGCAGCCCGACGAAGCCCACCCGACTTTGTTGGCTCGGATACCTAGTGATAGCAGATCCTGGGCACACAACGTAACCAGAATCCATCCTAGGCCTGACACCGCACTACGTCTACATGCGCTCACCAAGACTGCTCCTTTGAAGATGGCAGCGATGGCTTCGGCGAATGACGGACACGTCACTGATGCAGAGATCAACGCACACGCGGTAATTGTGACACATACCTATTCACCCCCTACTCATCTCCCACTACTTCAAACCCCCTATATCCTACGTTCTGCCTTACACCTCATACTATACGCCCATCACACACCTGAACCCGCTCCACGCAACACCTCCCAACTATCACCCGCAACTCCTACACCTCATATGCACCCACCACTATCACCTAAACTCACTGCTTGGGCCGCCCCTACTCCCCTGGCGATTGGGCCTGTTGATGCAGAAAGTCACCCATACTTGCAGACTTCTCTCGTCCTTTTTCCCTCTGATGAGCCGTTTGGCCCAAACGGCGAAAAGCGCTTCAGGGATGCGCCACCCTCCTTCCTCGATCTGGAGATCGGTCCTGTCGAAGAAGGTTCTCCTTCTCCTTCTCCTACCTTCTTCTCCTCAACTTCCTTTTGGTCCCCCTTCCCCTACCCCTCCTTCCTTTCCCCCTCTCCCCCTTGGTAAGAGGTGAATGGCATTGTGATAATAGGAGAATGTGAGCTATGGCTGTAGGTGTACAATGGTGACCCATGCGATTAGATAGCATGATGCTTTGCTTGTTTTGTGACTTTGCATACTATTCGTCTCATTACTGTTCCTGGCTACGCCAGGTTGTGCAATTGCTTTGCAATTTGTCTCACAAAACACACATACACGCACATGCACACACACACTCTCTCTCTCCCCCTTTTTTTTTGCTTTGTTTTTTTTTCTATTTTTTTTGTCGTGAAGAGTTTAGAGTGTGTTCAGCAAACAGAATGGAAGATGGCGATGACACACACGCGCACACATGCACACACACGCACACACACACACACACACACACACACACACACACACACGCACACGCACACACACACGCACAAACACACACACAGTGTCACACACACACATGTGTGTGTGTGTGTGTGTGTTTGTGTGTGTGTGTGTGTGTGTGTGTGTGTGTGTGTGTTTGTGTGCGTATGTGTGTGTGTGCATGACCGTATGTGTGTGTGTGCATGTGCGTGTGTGTGAGCATAGCCGAGAAATTGTAGCAAGAACAGACAGGGACGTAACACACAAAAGCCTCGAAAACGAAGAAGCTCAAATTATGGAAATCCAAAAACAGTGAACGAACCCCTGTAACAGTTCCGATCAAATGAAAGCAATCACGATGACACGAGCGCTTTGCCGGCCCACTATAGAAAGAGAAGATGGGCTTCAGCACCCTCGCGATGCGAAGACATTCACAAAAATAATAGAAAAACAAGCACCCCTCACACTGCTCACACCACATGCCACGTGGCATTTCCCGTGCTACATTCGAAAACACATCGAACATTCGTCCACTTGCATGCCCAAGATTGAGCGCCTCGCCCACCCCAGTTCTTCGTCTCCGTACTCGACCACTAATCACGAGCCTTTTCGCCAGTGATGAGCTCCTCCAACATAGTGCCACGTGGCAAAAACGTTGAACGATGGCCGAGCGGATCACCCACCCCAAAAATCGACCGTACCCCATTCGCTTTCGACACTTCAATATGCCACGCCTTTGGACTGTCCGCGCCCGCCACACCCCAATTGCCACGTCAACAAAATTCATTCCATCTGCCCAGTCATCCCAACTGGCATGTGGGCCATGCCCTGTTGATGTCCCTGAAGCGCAACAGTTGACGCAGAGGTTCCATCATCGTAGCAGCAGTCCGATCTCCATAGCCGGTCTTCGCGTTGAATCACAAGGTGCCACATGGCACATCACAATCACCGGCGGCAAAAAAACGTGCGCTGGCAAGACCACAGCCACGCACTATCATCTACATACGGATCTCTCCATGAAGATATCTGCGACCTACGAGTGGCGGATCGAGGAACGTGTAGTAGAAGGCGCCCATGTCTAATCTCGCCCCGTGCTCGGTCGCGAGGTTGTCGATAAGGTTGAGAACGATGTCGCCGACGATGTCGACTTGCAAGTTCGCCCAATCGTCGGGGATGAACTCCCCTGTCTTCTTCACGCACAGGAGGACGTGTGACAAGTGGCGTTTCCAGTATCCTAGAGCGGCGTCGATGTCGATGGCAGCTTTGTCGTTCACGTCGATGGAGTAGAACCGGTACGACTGCCGCGTTATCTCCAGCCCAAAAATGTCGACAGGGCGACAGAAGAAAGCATCACGCTCTCTACGCCTTTCCCAACACATCAAGCTTTCCCCCCTCACAATCTCCCTCCAGGCTAGCTCGGTGGCCATGTCTCCTCTCTCTCTCTCT